TTTTCAGAAATTAGAGATTATTCTTCGACCACTATTTTGACCCAAAAATCCAAATTTGAAGAAAATTGCCGACCCGAAGGTATACTGTAACCTTAAATGCCAACTAGTTAGCATAAGAACAACTTGATCTACACAATAAAAAGCAGTGAGGTCAAAGCAGGGCCACCTGCAGCCTCGCTGCCATTCAAAGGCCAGGTCACTGAACAGGCAACTGTAAAATGGTCTACTGTTTTGGAAGGGAATGCTGTCTACTTACTTGCACAGGGACGGGTCGGTAATATTCCTTCGAAACTTTCTGTGGAAACCTCGCACGCACTGCGGGCCTTTCTCGTAGTACTTGTCGCCACAAACAACGAAAGGCAGAATCAAGGCGCCATTTCGACAGTAAAACTGCTTCCTAAATTTCAATCTAACGTCCATGTCGATCCAATCATCACTTCTCCAGCTGTCTTCGCATACTCGAGTCACGTTCTTTACGCAGCTGATAAGTGTTTCAAAATTATTGCTGAGGAAGCAAAAGAACCGGTCATAATGAATCATCTTCCGAAGTCTTCAACCTTGCAATTGATATGACGAATATTCCAAATTATTACACACTGGATCATTAAATAATGCAATTCAAGAGTTTTCATTGGCTAAGTTATCATGGTATATGAGCAATTATACTATGCTCTACAAAGATGGTAAGGGTACACGTAATTTTTAGGGGTATTTGTATTTTTATTATAACTTAGTTTTCTATATTTTGGGGAAGTTTTTTTTAGTAAACCAATTATTCCACTCGCGCTTGTTGGATATATGGGAAAAAATCGTTCGCATCGCTGGATTGAGAGCGTATGACTCTGTATGTTAAAATAATCTTGACAGAACTCCTTTAAGTTGTCGTGGATACTTATCATGATTGGCAATCCATAAACACGCTACTAACCTACAGTTGGTTGCGAGGCCAAGTTGAAGACGTCGAAAGAAAGGTATTTCACAAGTGGCTCGCGTTTTGTAGAAATACATGTGAAGACTGCATGAGCCGACGCTTCCTGTGGCCATTTGAAAATCCATTAGAAAAGCTGCGAAAAAGAAATTACAGCATAACAGTACAGGGTGTCAACCACTTTGTTGATTAGACTTTGGTAATTCAACCATCATATAAATGGACTGCTAGTCTAGTTTCGGCCATCTCTCTGTCACGCTCCGTGCGTGACAGAGAAATGGCCGGAATTAACTGGACTAATCAACTTCTTTCTTGACTTCCATTCCTTCATAACTATTCGCTATGACTTTGAGTATTAGCATCACCATTTAAAAGTGCAACGCTTAATTTTCATACAATTTGAAATGTGTTCTGTACAATCCCTCGCATCTTCGCAGGCAAAATCTTTTAACTCGTCACGCACTCCCTCCTTATTGCGTCGTTCTTATGCCGGAGTGGACCACTGATTCTTGAGGGAAGGTGTGGGTTATTTGGTACAGGCACGAATTCATTTTGTAAACCCATTCATACACTGGGAATTTTTTTGTATTTTTTCCCTCCGCGTAATCTGCCTTCCTTTGGTTCCCCGAACGTGGGTGAATTTTTTTTTGGTACAAGTATGCTTGCAGAATATTTTCTTCTTAAAATCTCCCTCCTTCCACCTCATCAATGTCAAATGGTCTACCCCTGAGGGGTGAATCCATGACAGGCCAAAAGAATGTTTGCAGAAGAGGCTTATCACAATCCGCGATGAGAATTGTCATTACAAATCTGATTAGAAGAATATTTTTGTGAATTAATGCCTTTAGGTTTTTTAACCCGAGGAGCGAAGTTATGAAAAAGAGAGATGTTTCACTAGACATCTTAATTTTATGTACTGAGAATTGGAAGAGTTATCACAACTTCGATCGTCGATCTAAAATTGAAACAAGAGCCTGGAAAGTTCTTCACTGATTTTTTATTAAGCCATTTCTTCACATGCATCGAAATGAATACCTGGAGACTACTAATTTCGTTTCTTAGCCGCTTGTCTTTTGATCTGTTTTGGCTAAGCCGATTTCCTTCTTTCAACAGAACAATTAAAATAGAATTTATTTGCAGATCTGAGACTCTCTCATTAACCACAAGAGCGCATAACTTTGCAATCATAAATATTTCCATGTTTCTTTTGACACATTTTAAACTCAGCAATTTGATCATTAGAGAAGTGGTAATTCTGTTTTATTCAAGACAATTATGTTTTTAATTCAGTCGGACAAAACACTGTAATTTTCAAATATATTTCAGGATTCAGATCAAATTAAATTTTTATGTGCTTAAAAGTCGGTTTGTCATCGGCTTTATTACTACACCTTTTCCATGCATTTTCTTAACAATGCTAAACGAAAACATTCTCGATCATACTTAGCAAGTTCGTTCAGGTCTAAAAGCTTCTAAAACAAAATGCGATATTTTGTTGTTCAAAATTTTACAATATTTCTGTTAATTACCACGGAATATGTTACAGATAAATAGAGAACCAAAAACATCTGAAATATGCCAATAATATTAAAACGAAGGTAAACACCTTTGAGATTTTACTAGAGTATGAAAAATAAATTTGGCTACTTCTTGTGACAGATGCGTAGTGTTTTTTTCCTCACCACCAACGGCTTGCACTGTATGCCGCAGAGATCAACTCATTTTCTGAGTTACTTACCTATCAAAGTCAACGGCGAGAATATCACAAACGACTTTGGCTTCATTGCGGCTCCGACAAGGAGTTCTCCCTTACTTCAATTAAAACTGCTCGGCGAGAGGGAAAGGCTAATTCATCTCTCTGGGTAGGACCTGATCAGACAAAGCGATTACGCTCAAGTAAATATGATCGGTAATTCTGTAATCACTACAAATCAAATTAAATCTTCTCGTATGCTATCGCTATTACTGCAATTTGAATGGCTGAACCTAACTCTATCGATTTCTTGATCACCAGTGAAAGAACGTCATTGAACCCAGGTAAATACATAAATCCTTTTGAAAAAGTTTGGTATGGCAATCTACATACTGCCGATTTTATCAGTACTTGATGCAAGGATCTGATACTGGGGAAGTCTCAAAATTTTAAAATTGAAGCAATGGTAGTTTCTACACATTCAGAGAACTCAACGTGGCGCGGAAATGTTTTCCATCAGCAAAAGAAACACTAATTTTATCGGAGTCTGTCGTCTTGATCATGACGCAAGCAATCTTCGGCAGGGAAGGAGGTTTTCGAGCCATTTGGAAGTTGATATTTCTTTTTGCTACTTAGGTTTGTTCAGGGAACTGCTGTAGCTATAAATGCAATGGGAGTGTTTACGTGAAGATGATAGTGAAGTCGGTTGTTCCCCATGTACAACTGAGTCATCGTCCCCTCCCCCCTTAAGGGTGGACCATTTGACTTTTGAGGGAGGGTAGGTGAGTTTGGAAAAAATCTCCTGCAAGGATACCTGTAGCAGAAAGATTCATACACACGACCACTGTCGCAAAAAAAAAAAAAAAAAAAAAAAATCCACGCACGCCAATGAGCCGAAAAAAACAAACATGTTACATGATGAATATTCATCATACATACGTGCCGGGAAAAAAATTCCTAGTGCATGAAATGAAAAGCTTAAAAAAAAAATATGCCAGTAGCAAATCACCCTCCCCCTGGCCCCCGCCCCGCCCCTCGCCCCCCGCTTAAATAGACTACCTCTTGCGCGGGTGACCCTCGAGAAGACCGCGTGTTGTTCCTTTTCCGCGCGCGTTAAAATCCCCTGAAAAGGAACGGTTACTCAGCATGATTTATTTTTCTGAAATTTCGGCGGGGAAATGGCGGACTATGGGTGAAGAAAGCGAAGGAGTTTCGTTTCTTTTCGCTAAACTGTGCGAATTATCTTTCAATAGTGAAGCCAGCGAAACATGGGATATTTATAGGTGTCCACGCTTCACCAATCGACGGCAAAGGGCTTTGAAACTGTGCTTGTACGAAACTCTTTTCGAAGAGCTGCGGGCTCCTTGGGTTGATCAGCTAACTCGAACTCAATACAAGGGACACCAGTCATGCTTGCATGTTGTTGATAAGCTATCAATAGCAGCATTTGAACTCAGGATAGCTCGTAGATTTGACGATGCAGATAAACTGGAGCGTTTTGTATGTCAGTGGAGGGATTTGGAAGGTTGGTAAATATTAGACCCTACTATTAGAGCCGATCGAAACAGTAAGAAGTTTAGAAGACCTGCTTTATAGTATAACTCAGTGTGCTTAAGCTTATATTAAGAACGGAGTACTGAGAAATATAATGAATGAACTTAGCAAACAGCTTTTAGAGTATTCGTAAGTAGAATTTAATTGTCAATAATAAGTTACACATGAGGAATTATATTTCCTTCTCTGGGTAGCTGAGTGACACCGTCTGATTGGACATGATTGTGATTGGCTGAACAAGCAGTCCAGATATCTTCACCTGGAACTCTTGTGCATGTTGGCCATTTTCAGCATCTTTATATATAATTTAATCTCTGTTAGAATTATGACAAAAGTCTTATTGTACCAAGTGGGAGATCAAGGCTGGATGATTAGAAAAAAAAAAAATAATAAGTCTTGACATTTGAACTGCCTGCTTGGTAAATAACAACCACAGTACATGTATATGCTGTAGCTCAGAAGTCAAACTTACTTTTATTCTCTCTCTGTGATGTTAATTATGCCGTTAATTGTTTGTTTCAATCAGAACCTTCCAGCAGTGCTGTTAAATTCAACAGCACAGAACTTAGGACAAATGTTTTAGAGAAGGAAGCAGTGCTAAGATTCATTGTTGCCTTAGCTGGATCAGTTACGAATGAATCAACTTCAGTACTTGGCCATCAGAACAAGTTGTGGGTCACAGAACACAAACAGGTAGTAAGTTATGGTGTATCATTATCCAGCTCTACTGAGAAGAGTATTGATACAGTAGCTTGTGAAACAAATTTAAATTTTGCCGTCAGTATTTGAATTCAAGGAAACTGGTTTAACACGTTCTTATGAAATAGGACTTTTTTTAGGTCTAACAATTTGGTCTCAAACCTACTAGTTACTGACATTTCAGAATCCTCCCCACCCCCTTCAAAAACCCCCATTACTCCCCCATTCCCAGGATCATTTGTTTTGTTCTGGTATGTCTTTATGGTGCTAGTCCAGTTCTAGCCCTCTGAATCTCTCTGTCACGGAATGCAGAGAGAGGGCCAGATCTAGTCTCTTCTGGACAGGTGCAGCAAAGGAAGGAGAGGCCAGATGGGCCATCACCTACAATATCCCGTGAACATTTACTGTAAAATCAGGCCCCTACTATTAGCTAAACACGGTGTGCTTTATATCTCAACAAACTATAGCCTTGTAAATTAATGCTGTTTTTCAACCTTTAGATTCAGAAGACATCTCTCCCAGAAGGACCTCTCTTAAATACAGACAGCCAACTTGTGAGACAACATGCATTGGAATTTGAGCATTATGTCCATTATTCAAGGTTTGTATCACTGTGGGAATCTTAAGTTTTAGTCCTTCACTACTAGATGGAATTTTTTTCTATCATAAATTCTGGCCATAATGTTGATCTATTTTAAATTAAAAATTAGGACACCCTTCCTCCTATTTTAAGTATTAATGATCCTCTTTCGAGGCCTGGTCTTAGCTTCCACTAACGATACTACATTTAGGAAATAACACACTGGCTGTGGGTAAAATTTGGGTGGCAGGGAAGGACGACTGGGGAGTAGGGGCCCTGGAAGGGGGCCCTCCTGGGGGAGTACAGATTGGGTGGTACCGGGGGTAGCCACCGTGGAATAAAAGTTCCAGACCTGCCTCCAGGGGTGAGGCCCATATCCCACAGTCCCAGGGGACTGAGGGAACCAGGAGGGGGAGCCCCTCCTGGGGGGAGTACAGATCAGGTGGTACCGGGGGTAGCCACCTTGGAATAGGTAATTTCTCCGGACCTGTCTCCAGTGGGCTAGAGCCTTACTGTGGGGTAAAGTGCAGCTGATGGGTGCACTTCCCTGCCACCGTCCTTTAATAACAAACAACAGAAAGCTACCAAAATACAGTCTCTGTTCATTGCACCCTGAATGATAAGGTCTAAGGCTTGCTAAGAGACAGATAACCGTAGCCTATAGCCATTAATGGTATAATTATTATTATTATTATTATTATTATTATTATTATTATTATTTTATAATAAGCAAATGATATCATAAGTATATACGGATAAATGTTTTTCTAAAAGTAGCGGCGAAGTGGCGAAGGATCGGCACAAACAAGAAGACTGAATACAACGAGGAGCGTGTGCTTGACTAGAGGTCAGGGGCATGAGGTGGACACGTGAGAGACATGACTGGAACCATTGATATACTGTCTTTTACAGATGTAGATAACAGTGGCCTTACTTAGGACATGAAAGGTTTGTTGTGATATCTAAAGGGGGTGATTGTTTTCAACTGGGAATCCTTGATGGACTTTGAGATCAGGAATTGGTGGCATGTTACTCATGTTACTGGGATTTACTTATGAGCGTGACACGAGGTTCATAGTGTTACATGTCTCTGAAATAAAGTGTTACAATGCAGAATGTATGTGCCTGTCTTTGAGATATTGTCTCTCAGGTCTCATTAACATCAGTTTATGGATGCCATAAACTTAAACTTAAACTGATAACGCTAACTAATCCATCTTTGTGAATTTGGAAACCTAACGTTCTGAGTTAGGTAACTCTTCGTCTGAGCATAACGTTTCCTTTTGGGTTACTCTTTAAATAATTGGGAAAGGGTGTGACGCTAGGACCTTGGGACCCTTACCCTATCCTAGACCATGATCAGCTTGATTTCGCAGTCCTACCCTAAACTAGGCACCAAAAACCTCTGCCCTATCCCAGAATAGATATTTTGCATGCAGAAACGTAATCACTATTGTAGTCCAACATAAGCTAACTAAGCCAATATCGTACAAAGTTACGCCCCAAATACTACACATGTGGTAGTATCTAAGCCATTACCAGAGTGCTCAAACTAGCGAGCTAGTGAGCATGCGCAATTGCAACAGTAACGACTCAT